AATGTGATAAACATGTTTTAAATGTCTTTTTCAATAAATTTCAGTCCATTAATATACCATGTTTTTCAGGGGCATTGATTCAATCTATTATTACATTAATTACATAGAAAACCCCCCTTTAAAAAAAAACAAACTCTTATATATTTGTATGATCTTGGGAAATCTTGGGAAATTTGTTCACCAAATCTTGGGAAATTTGAAAAAAGTGAGTGGCAGCCCTGTGATGTATCAGTAGCAGAAAAAAAGGCTCAGTGGTCATGGCCATGGTCTAGTATTATAATGGTCTTTAATAGTACAAATTTTAAGATATGATGATATTTACGGTAAATATAACTGTCACAATGATATTAATGATGATGTTGACTATACTTAATAATATAGTCATATAGTATAGTCTATATTATACTATACTATGCAACACAGTATTAAAGTTATTACTAATACTAATAATATTAGTAAGGGCTAAATCTGAGGACGAATGCCATCGCCCACGGCGTCTTTTGGGTGTTTATTATAGTTGCAGTGAATTAGGGTTTAGGTTAGGTTGAGGGATCGATTTAGGGTTCAGGCTAGGCATAGGGATCGATTGAGGGTTCAAATTAGGCATTATGACATAGTGATCGTGTTAGGGTTCAGGCTAGACATAGGGATCGATTTAGGGATAGGCCTACAGTCGTGAAATTGGATAAAATAGTGGCATTCGTCCTCGTAATTCCATCAGATGGGCCATCCGCTGTTTCAGATTTAGCGACCCATGTTTACTTTACTGTTAAGGTTAGGCATAGGGATTGATTTAAATTTTGGGTATTCTTTTTACTTTTTACAAAAAAAATTTACGTTTTACTACAAATGAATATAATGAAATATTAGCAATGTGAATGTGCATACAAAATTCGTTCATTTTTTTTTTCAAACCATAGTCATAGAGTAGGCCTATCAAAGACTGATTGGCCCCTTGACAGTGTCTGAGACACAAAGATCCGGCCTCTCAAAAGCCTTATTAAAAAAATTGAGGACCTCTGGTATAAGTTATAGGAAAATTGCAAACAAATCAATAGCGAAAGCGAAAACGGAAATAAAAGATAACATCCAGATGATGTATCAGTATCAGAAAAAAAGGCTCAGTGGTCATGGCCATGGTCTAGTATTATAATGGTCTTTAATAGTACAAATTTTAAGATACTATGATGATATTTACGGTAAATATAACTGTCACGATGACATTAATGATGATGTTGACTATACTTAATAATATAGTCATATAGTATAGTCTATGTCTATATTATACTATACTATGCAACACAGTATTAAAATTAAAGTTATTACTAATACTATTAGTAATAATAAATAACTTTAATTAATACTAATAATATTAGTAAGGGCTAAATCTGAGGACGAATGCCATCGCCCACGGCGTCTTTTGGGTGTTTATTATAGTTGCAGTGAATTAGGGGTTAGGTTGAGGGATCGATTTAGGGTTCAGGCTAGGCATATGGATCGATTTAGGGTTCAAATTAGGCATTATGACATAGTGATCGTGTTAGGGTTCAGGCTAGACATAGGGATCGATTTAGGGATAGGCCTACATTCGTGAAATTGGATAAAATAGTGGCATTCGTCCTCGTAATTCCATCAGATGGGCCATCCGCTGTTTCAGATTTAGCGACCCATGTTTACTTTACTGTTAAGGTTAGGCATAGGGATTGATTTAAATTTAGGGTTCGGGTTAGGCTTAGGAATAGATTTAGGGTTCGGGTTAGGCATAGGGATAGATTTAGGGTTCGGGTTAGGCATAGTATAGTATAGGGATCGATTTAGGGTTCAGGTTAGGCATAGGGATTGATTTAAGACGTAAAAGTGCGCGCATGGAAATCATGGAAATAAACGCGGGCTGCGTTCTCTGAATTTACCGGGCCATCTTTCTTTTTGAAACTTATTCATTTATTTTATAGTATATTATTTGTTAATATTTTTTAAGTAATGTTAATTATTAATTTATCTTGTTAAAAATTCAAAAATAATTGTTAATCGATTGATATTTTTATTTTAGCCAAATCATAATTAGACCTGACCTAATTATTATGTTACGAAATGTAATTAATTTATGAATGATGAATGAAATAAGTAAGGGTAAAATTTAAGGACGAATGCCACATTTTTATCGAATTTCACGAAAGTATCCCTAAATTGATCCCTATGCCTAACCTCAACCCTAAATTGATCCCTATGTCTAACTAACCTGAACCCTAAATCGATCCCTCAACCTAACCTAAACCCTAATTCACTGCAACTATAATAAACACACAAAAGACGCCGTGGCATCCCTCCTTAATATCAGCCAAAATAAGAAAGGCTGCGACCAGAAGTGAGACTGTTGGTGTGTATTGTATAGTGTATAATTATAATTGTTCTAAATAATAATAATTATTTTAGTTATAGTGAAATGCCTTACTTAGACTTTATTAGACTACCTAAATTTTAAATTTATTTCTGCCTCCCCCCCCCCCCCCCCCCCCCCCCCCCCCCCCCCTTTAAATTTATTTATGTCTCCCCCCCCCCCCCCTGGTTGTGCTGTAAACTAAATATTAGTATTAGTATTAGAATTAGGCTACTTTAATTATATATAATATATATTATATTTTTAAAAAGGGGCCTAGTATAATAACTATATAACTATTTTTTATATATAATAAATTAATAACATATAATAGGCCTATATAATATAATATAATATAATATAATATATATAATTAAAAGTATTGGCCCATGAAATAAGACTAAGCTACTAACAGTAACTGTAAAGTAACGGTAGGACAACTATCTAAACTAAAATATAATAATTAATTAATTAACTTCACTAATTTACCTAGGCTTACTTAATTGTTAGAATTATTTTAACTGTGTCATTAAAGTAGTTAAAGTTGAGCTATATTGCTGTATAACTTCAACTGTAGACTTTGCAACTGTCAACTTTTATTTTAGTCTTTGACTTTGAGACAAGTGGGCTGCTACTCAAGCTAGCAGTGCAGTAACTCAACTTTGATTTTAATTCCTGTAACTTACTTTAGTAGAATTACTTTGCATTAATTTTTTACTTATAGCTGCCTGTACTCCACAGAAATCAAAGTTTAGTGAGTCTTTTAACTTTAATTGATTCACTGCCGGTACTCCACAGAAATAAAAGTTTAGCGAGTCTTTTAGCTTTAATTGCTTTGTGCAAAAATTTGCTGTTATTAAGACTAAGCTATAAAAGAAACACTGACCTTCTATTTTTATAGCATATCTATACGGTATTGTGTTTTTGTTTTATGTTAATTTTATCAATATTTGTACGACTATGAGATAGATCCTATGGTTAAAAATTTTTGTTTGATCATTAACTTGAATATATTTACGTAACTTTGTCAGATTTTATTGTTGCAGTGGTGACAGATGAGATGCACCAAAAAGATGTCACAGGAATGTCATTCAGAGTTCAAGTATTATGGTGTCTTGGAAAGTGACATGTCAAGAAATGTACAGAGGGATTTTGATCAAATTTCTGGATATACCAACATGAAAAACTACCTATTCAACCATTTTGTTGACCCACAAAAACTGCCCCACTGGTCTGAACAGGTCATCCGCCCCCTTCTTATTTGTGGACATCCGGGAGTAGGAAAATCAGTTTTCATTGAAGCCATAGCTCACTTGGCTAACAAGAAATTGTTTGTTTTCAATATGTATTCCCTTGGGTCATCTACACTAAGAGGAGTTGGGAGCTCAGAAGATTGTATCAAAGCAGTGTTCACAGTAGCACACAGAAACAGACCATGCATTCTGTGTCTTGAGGATATAGATGTCTTAAGTGAAAGTAATGAGAGTTATGGTGGAGCTCAACGGGAAGTTCTGTTGCAGCTATTTAACATGTGTAAAAAAAGTGAGAGGGATGTCACTGTGGTTGCCACAACTCAGAAACCATGGAATTGTAATGTTTTTCTCCTGGGGCATTTCCATCTTATGTAAGGAACAATTTAACTTTATATTTTGGAAAAATAAATTTGATAAGTTTAGTTGCCGATTTTTTTTAGGAAGGAGTTTGTTTGAATTATCTGTAATTAAATAATTTTTTTTTCTCATCATTAAATTATGAAACAGTGGTAGTTAAAAAATTTAATTAATTTACATTTATTGAGTTTTTATAAATTTATTGAAAATTACATTCGCATTTTGTAAGTAGTTAGGTTTTTGGTAGCCTAACTGGCCAAAGGCATTCATAAATTAGAAAATATAAACAAACCAAAATGACACAATTTCTAATTAAAGCCACATAAATGGAATTTGTCTTTTTTATTTCAAATTATTTCACAACATTCACAGATTTTTGGATTTGCCGACATGCGAGGAGCGCATTGAGATATTTAAAAGATTTATTTCTGACATGTCACATGATTTGAATGACGAAATCCTTGCTGAAATTGGAAATAGAACCCATGGTAATCTGTCAAATGTGGTATTTAAACCTACAGAATAAGTTTTTTTTAATATATCAATGATAATTTTAACACCTTCTAATAATTGGAGTTTGTAATTTAATTTATGCAATGAAATATTTTTTTAAAAAAGGTTTTGCAACATCTGATCTGATGGTATTAGCCAGACAAGCTTGTGTGCAGTGTGTGAGAAAGATTTCTAGTGCTCAATATTTCAAGAAAATTTACATCCCACTACCGGTAACAATTTTAAACTTGTGTTATCTCTCATCCTATACAACAAATCGGTTTAGCTTTACTTTAAAGAAATCCATTCCCTTTTTTTTTTGTTCTCCCGCTCCAAAAATGTCATTAAATCATAATAAATTAACTGAATACTCTCTAAGCTCAATAGGTTAACTTGAACTGTTGCCTCTAATTCTCAGAAGTAGTTGTGAATTCAGATGTTGTTGTTTTTTAAACCTCTCTAAAAAAAAGATAATTATCTGAATGATTGTGTAGATCTCATTAAACATCCGAATAAACTCTTAAAGAGATTTCCAATTTTTTCAGGTGGCGATTAAAAATAAAATTAAAATGATGGAAGAAAAGAACATAGCAATTTGATTTTTTTTATTTAGGTACTGAAAAGATAACGCCATAATATTAAGAAAATAGATGTTGAAAAAGTAAAATAAATATAAAAAGTATAATTGTTCAAATCAAGCAAATTGGAACATTGTGAACAAATGATTTATTTAGTTTTGATTACGGTACTGTTATACCTCTTAGGTATTTCAATCTAAATATTTAGTGTCTAGCCTTTGAAAATTTTAAGGACAGTTATATTTGCATATCATAAGCATATACTGGTTCTTCAAAAATTTTAAAAATAAAAAAATTCTAATCTATTTTTCCAGATTGACAAAGTAGTTTGTGAGACATTGGAGAAGCTAGAACCTGATAAGGAGTGTATTCAAACAAAATCTGATCAAGTGTTGTATAAAGCAGGGGACAGTGCACATAGGGGAGAGGAAAAGTTGCAATCTTTTCTAGAGACAAGCTGTGGTTTGTCCAGAAGAGAAGTGAAATTTAAAGACAATCATAGTTACGACCCATTGCTAGAGGATTCAGTGAGTCGAGGTGAAGGTCAGGCAGGGGAAAAATTTACCCCATGTGAATCCTGGGAGGTAGGGGCCTCAAAAACATCATTTCTCGAAATCCCCGCTGAGCTAATCTGGCATCCTCTTGATGTGACTAAAGAATCTTTGATGATCTCACTTATCGGCATGACATCCTCTATTACAGATGAACTAGAAGCAAAGATGAAACATTTTAAAGAAAGTTATTACCCTCTACCGTCATAGGGCTACATGCTGCTAAATACACACTTCATATAAATTAGAGCTCAGCTACCATTTTTCACACACTACACACCAAAGGCCTTCCCGAAAATACCACGGCACCTCCAAGGCCTTCCCAAAAATTCAAGTGCACACCTTCAAGTCAAAAAGCAAGCCAAAAATATACTAAGTAACAAATGGTATTTGAAATTCATTATTAGTAAGGGCATTATCATATCTATGCACCTGCATATCTGTGCCTTGCCTCCTCTTGAAGGCAATTTAGTGGAGCATGTATTGCAGCATCTCTCTGCACATCAGTGTGCGCGGCACACAGATTGCTGAGCTCTGATATAAAGCACCAATGAATCACAGTATTTTAATAGTGTTGTATGTGTGTCACAATCAATGAAATCAACGCCATTCTTTGCATTTTAAGAAAATTGGATGTCTACAACTAAAACTTTTCCTTTAAACTTACGGACCATTTCCGTCTACTCAGTATTAGTATTATTACTTTTTGGTGTGCTGGGTTAGTGAAGACAAGTTGAAAGCATTCTGCTTACTTGATGTATTATGGATTTTGACAGAGTTGCCTCTTAGGAACGGCCGCCTTGCGCAGCCAACTATTCCAAAAAACAAAATGTACAGATTTTTTTTTTGTTGATATGCCAACATGCGATGAATGCTTTGAGAAATTAAAATTATTTATTTCTGACACGTCACATGACTTGAATGATGAATTATTCACTGCTGACTAGTAAATCATACCTTCAAACTATTAAATGTGAATCCCAACCCCTACTTTTTTTCATCATCGCTACCTCTGGAGACAATAGATGGGCAAATATTGTAGAATTTGTTTATAAATTATAGTTTATAGCTGAAATTATTGTAAATGTTTTTTAAAAAAAAACTCTAGTTTACAATAATTTCAGTCTTTAGGTGACTAAAAGTTTTATGAACAAGAGACCTTAATTCCATCTCCTGTGATTGGAGCTGTGACACTCTATGGGATTAAGTTCATGCAAGTCTGCTCAACAGAGTTTGTCTGTCTGTAATTTATGTAATGCCTTACAGCTAAGTAAATATGGTTTTGGGGGAGTGGGTTGGTCGGATGGGGAGATGAGCTGGTGTTCCTCACGTTTTATTAAACTTTAGGCAGGAACAAAATGAAAAATCAAAATGGGGTGGTCAATCAAACATTTTGTAGGCTTATCTTTAGTCTTAGAATCAAGTATTTCATTGTTTTAATTTATTTGCTTTCACACATGATTGTTCATCTTATGCTTGTAGAATGAGAAAACTCATTGGCCTGTTTCTTCACAGTAAACATTAATAGATTAGATCTAATAGCAACAATTAGCTTAGTTCAAACCACTAATAAACTGTTTATCCACTATTCATTATTTTGTGGGATGGGGTGGGTGGTCACCTGGATGCCTGTTGCTGCTGCTGCCAGGGGCAGAGTAATAGTAATAATGTGGCAAATCATACGCCTTTGTAGCCTACAATTACAGCCAGGATAAGTTATATTAATATTAATTAAGTAGACGCTAAGGCTGTACTGCATACTAATATAGGCTTATGCTAACTAAAAATATTTATCTTAAATTATAGTCGAACCAACGACCAAAGCTTTTATTATCATATGTAAATTTGATAAAACTTAACAAGAGGAAAATAAATATATTTTCTGTCATCTTCTGAGCATGTTTGTTACCAGCATGATTTAGCCAGTAGGCTAGCCTCTTCTTTACGCATCTTACTGCCTTACTCTTACTATTTGCTTAAACTCATTGTAGCCATACTCATACTCATAACTCATAGCGTTATGATAGACTATGACTATACTAGTACTATACTACATAATTCCAGAGACATGTAACGAGCTAAATAAAATGAAACGTATGAAACGTTAAAAAAAACTATCCGTCCATGATCAAAAGTATTACAAAAGTTACACACAATTCTCTTGTGAGATAAGGTACACTTTACTCTTTTAAAAAATGGACACTAAAAAGCAAGTCCGATTGTTACCACTGTTACCACTAAGTGGTAACAATCATTTGCAGGAAAAAATATAATCGAGCCTGCCAGGATTCGAACCTGGAATCTTCTGATCCGTAGTCAGACGCGTTATCCGTTGCGCCACAGGCCCACATGATTTGCAGGGAAATTAAAAAAGACATCCCTGTTTAACGTGTTTGTGTGTCTTTTTTATGGGGGAATGGTAAAAATTGGCGAAGAGGGTATGGATACATAAATGTCCTAGTTTATTTCTTTAATTTTAATTATCGTGAAGAAAGCTTCCCTTGTTTTTGAAGTGTTCCGACATAAGGGACGCTAAACCTTAAAAATAAAATTAAAGTTTTGCAAAATTATGACGAATTACCTCCCCTCAAATTTGCAAATCCCAAATCGAAGTGGCTATAGGTACCCGAGTACAAAATAGCTGCAAATTGCTAGATGTACCTGGCTGGTCACGTGAGGCTGGTTAAGACGGATACTTCCTGTTGGTTGCCATCTTAGTCGCCATTTTTATCAATCGAGAACAAGACTTATATGTACCGGTAGCTCTGAAGAAACACGAAAAAAAATGGGACGTACGGCTGAAAGAAAGTAAGAATACGTTTATGTTTATAATTTTATGGTATTTTTAAATTCTATTTTAAATATAATTCTATAATCATTAACATGACATCAATCAAGATCAAAGTTGCTTTACTTTTCTTTTTTTTGGCTGCAAATCGGCCACAGTACTGTCTTATCTTAGATACTTTGGTAAAAAATTTAAACATTTTGTAAAAATAAACCAATGGCATAGTTGAATAGAGCTAAATTTTTACAGAATTATAACACCAAAATCATATTTTTAGCTGTTGTAGTTTTAAAGTTATGAATTTTTAAAGTACAACTTGGTTTGTCCTTTTTTAACATGGACTGCATCTCCACATTCTGTGACCTCATTCCGCCGATCGCAATGACTATATAGTTTATATAAGGCTAAGGCATCCCTTATCACTAAAATACTGTTTAGGGTCGACTTATTTTAAACGTTCAACTTTGGCACATGAATAATTAAGTAAAGCTTTCCCTGACCAATGGTTTAATAGTTTTTGCACACAGAAGACTCTTATGAATGAAACTCTGAGATAATTCTACGATATAGCCGTTATGCAAGTGGCTGTGAATGGTTGCCAATGACAACGTGTTGCACACGGAAAATTCTGATAATATGGACTCTACAGGGTTTTTAAAGCTCAAATTAAAACATTCCTGTTTAAATGTCTTCAAAATGCATTCTGAAACACAAGTTAATCAAATATTTTGATGTATATAGTGGTAATAATTAAATATTTCTTAAGTATCGACAACTTCCGCCATTAAAAAGGGGGCGTGGCCCACGCTGTGTCGAAATAAGGCTGAGCCCCGTTCAGTATTTATTCTCTTTTACTCTATTATTATTAGATAAACTAAGACTAAGACAACTAGTAACTAGTTATAAGGATGTGTTAATAGACCTCTATTAATACTAGAATTAAATTAATGAAATAAATAAATTTTAATACTAGGGACATTTCTTTAATTTGCGTAATTTAATTGAAAATGGTCTTTTTTTTCAGTCTATTTGTTAATGTTATCCATCCTTATTTATCTTAAATAACCTCGATTGTCATTATCTATATTGCTGAAAATTTCATTGCATTAGGCTCATTAGCCGCTGTCACTTTTCATGAAATATTTTTTCTAGCAATAGCTTTAAGGGGGCAGGCTACCAAAAAAAACAAAACAATTAACCTACTTAGAGCAACTATTATATTATGGTCATGTTAAGCTATGAATGGAGATATATTTTCATGCTTTAAAAAAAAAAATTATATAGTTGCCATGGCAAGCCGGCCATCTTGAAAATAATACCCATTCGTAGAGTTCTACAATTATAAAAACAAACATACATATTGCTTAAAAAATGATTGATTCATGAACTTCAATTATATTATTATTATTATTACTGAGCTAGTTTAATTTACTTCAAACTTTTCAAAACATTTTATTTTAATTTTTAAAATTTGCCTCTGCAGAAAACGCTTAAAATTTACCATCGTATGATATGAAAAAAATTATTTAAACAAAAGTAATTGACCAAATTGATTTTTGAATAGCTCATTACCCACAAAATAGTTAAAGGAAGATACACACCAAACTTTATTGCTCTAGCTTGTATATTAGCTGAGATTTTAGAATTCTACGTTACAAAACAACAAAAAAAAAACAATTTTGAGAAAAATCAATTTTAAACTTTAAAAGTGAAAAATTTTAAGTTTAATATGAAAATGAAGTTCTTTTACATAGTTTTTTTTGTTCAGCAACATGGACATGATGGTTTCTTATATTATTGAACTGATGAATGCACCAGGAACATGGGTTTTACCTTCTTGAACTTCATCAGGTTCTCTCGTCAAAATCACAATTTTTTTTAATTTTTTTTTTTATTTGTCCTCTTGAATAAAGCTTATTTGTGTTGTATAAGAATTTTTTTGTTCAGCATTATAGTATAACACATGTTATCCAAAGTCCCCAATCAACCCTTTTTGTCCATGATCCTTTTAACCATGCTTAGATGACAACGTTATGTTGCTGTCACCATCACTGAAATTGAAGAATAAATAGTTTCATGGCAGCAATGCTATGTTGAAACTTTTGTACATATTCTGTGTACATCTTTCATCAAAGATGTCCCTCATACCAGAGGTGAATGAGTTATTTGTCTATTAGAAATGTAATAATTGGGCAGATACTTGCTCATAAATGTTTCATGTCTTCGGCATAGCGCAGTTTTTATACTTTGCGCAGGTTATAAATTTTGCGGTGCAGCTGGATTGTTTATCGCAGATATCATAGATTGCAACTTTTCATAGTCCATGCCATTGTCCTTCAGGCCTTAGAGTCTATAATTGATAATGACTTGGTTATCCAGTTGTTGATATGAACAATCTAACCACTCACAATCTAGTCATTGTTATATTCATAGTATTTACTATTTTGTTTTGCAATCAGCTGTAAGTTATGGCTTCTGCAATTTGTCCATTCCACTGCAGACAGAAGAAAATTGGTAAAAGCTTTGAATTATGATCATATCGAAATCAATGTTTAGCAGTCCCTCTGTAGAATTCTTGTCACTGAAAAATTAACTTATGCTCGGCTCGGTAGAACTAATTGGGGGCTGGAATGGTATTAAAAAATTATATAAACAACATTTAGCAAATAATATATTGAACATGATCTAAATAAGCCTATAGTATTATTTAGATGTTTAGGATTGCTTAACTAAATATTTATTTTATTATAATTACTATTATTAGTCTAATGAACTGATCTACAAATAAGAAATAATATAAAACTAATTAGGCTATTACTAATAATAATTGTATGCAGATAAAAAAAAATGAATAAGGCTAAGATAAAACTATTTGAGTTAAAACATTATAATACGAATTATTTTGCCCATACTGCTAATGCTAATACCATAATTATAGTAATAGTAGTATTACGGCATAATATTGCCTTGTTGTTACTGAATGTTAGTCCTAGCCTTGGTCTTAGCCTATACTATTACTTTGAATTTGAACTACTCGATTATTTATCAATGTTATTTTAACAACTATAAATAAATAGACTTAG